GATCCCAGTGCAGCCATGGGAGATCCCAGTGCAGCCATGGATGATCCCAGTGCAGCCATGGGAGATCCCAGTGCAGCCTGGACTGTCCCAGTACAACCTGGAAATGCTCCCCTGGAGAGGAGAAGCTCCAGGGAGAGCTCAGAGCCCCTGCAGGGCCTGGAGGGGCTCCAGGAGAGCTGGAGAGGGACTGGGGACAAGGATGGAGGGACAGGACCCAGGGAATGGCTCCCACTGCCAGAGGGCAGGGCTGGGTGGGAGATTGGGAATTGGGAATTGTTCCCTGGCAGGGTGGGCAGGGGCTGGGCTGGAATTCCCAGAGCAGCTGTGGCTGCCCCTGGATCCCTGGCAGTGCCCAAGTGTCTTTGGAAGCGCTTGGAGCAGCCTGGGACAGTGGGAGGTGTTCCTGGCATGGCAGAGGTAATTGGGTTTAAGTTTCCTTCCTGCTCAAACCATTCCAGGATCCTGGGGAAGCCTCATGGCAGTGGGAGGGGATACGCCCCTCCTCTCACATCCTGGGGATCTCTCTGGGTCTGTTCCAAACTCACCTGGCAGGAGGAGCTGCTGGATGATCTTTGCATCTCACCCCAGAAATGCTCTTGGGCTGCCCTTGGCCTCCCTAAGGAACCCTGGATGTCTTTATCCAGCTCCTGCCCGGCCACCTCCCTGGATCCATCCCTGGAGCAGCAGGCAGGGTTTGGGTGTCCCCACACCACCCACAGAGCCATCCCCAGCCCCAGTGCCAAAGCCCGGGAGGCTCCCAGAAATACTCCCCCAGCCCCAGTGATGCCCTGCTGGCCTGAAATCCAGGGAACACCCTTCCCTTTGGGCTAGGGGAATGGGTTTTTATGCCCTCGCGTCCCTCAGGAAGCTCTTCTCCAAGTGCTTCAGCCCCAAGGGAATTCAGCAGCAGGATATCCCAGCCCTCAGCCTCTGCAGGGACAAATCCCACCCTCCTGGGAGCAGCTCAGCAATCCCTCCTGGATGGCCACAGCAGCAGAGCCCCAAATCCCTCCCTTCTCACCCCATTTCCCAGAGCGGGGCAATTCCATCAGCAATCCCTGCCTGCAGCAGCGGCTCAGCATTCCCGGCGGGAAGGGCCCTAACTCTGGCTTCCAGCCTGTCCCAGCCCCAATAATGACCCCACTGTGCCGTGCTCCCGCGTTTGCCAGAGCAGAAATGAGCAACTGCCTGCCTGAGGTGTTGGAATTTGGGCTGAAGGCTGGAAACAGCCTCTGATTATATCCCAGTCCCCATTTTTTATTTATTTTCTGCCCCAATGGCTCTTACAGGAATTTTCCACTCATGTGATGCCGTTGCAGACCCCAGGATTTACCAAGACAACCCTAAATGTGGTTTATTGGGAATTTTTTTTGCACCCTATGAATCAGCCTCTATAAATCTCTGTGATGTGAGCAAAGCACACAAAAATAACACCAGGATTGGGATTTCACCTGGAAAATTAACGGCCCAAAGGCACCAAGCCTGTGGTGGTTGACAGGGATTTTAGGGAACAGCCACACCTGAGTGGCCAGGTGACCACCATGGGGACACACAGCTGGGAAGGGTCCTCAGGTGCCAGCCCTGAGCTGTGGAGGGTCCTCAGTGGGTCCCAAATCCTCCCTGAGCTTTTCTAGATACCCCAAATGAAGAGGATTTGTCCCATGTGCCGACCTGCTGCTCCCAAGGCTCACCCCAGGAACTGCTGCTCTGCTCCTGCCTCACTCCGTGGACACTCTGCGTCCCCTCCTGCCTCTCTGGAAAATCCAAATCCCATTTCAGAACCCTCTGCATTCCTGGACATGAACAACCCCTCCCCATCCTCATTCCCACCTCTTCCTGTTTCTCCCACCCTCTGCGGCTCCACAAATCCTCCTCCCTGAGCCTCCTCCACGTGTTTCTTCCCACCTTTTTTAGCTCCTGGCCCCTTTCCCCTGCTTTCCAAGGACAGGAAGCCCTTCAGGACAAAGAGTGCTGAAATCCCAGCGGGAATGGCCGGATGCAGCTCCCTGTGCTGCTCCGGAGGCCTGGGGGGAGCGCTGGATATCTGGGCACGGGACACTCCGAGGATTTTCGGGCCATTGTTCAGGATTGGAGGCAAAGAGCAGAATTCGTGCTCCAGGAATTCCAGCATTTTCTGAGCCCTGCTATTCCAGCAGCTGAGCCAAAATTCCCTGGTATTTACCTGCTCCAGGACAATTAGCAGTGGGAATGCACCTTTGGGAACTGTGTCCCTCCTATTCCTGCCTATTTCCTGCCCTGCAATTGTTTTTCCCGAGGCTGAACCCATCCCTGTGCGGGACAGGACAGCTCGCCCCTTGTCCCACATCCCCGAGGACAGAGAATTCCCAAAGGGAGTATTTCCCACTATGGAAACGCTCCGTGTTTATCCAGGACTGCTGAAGCCCGGACATTTGGTGCCTGGATTTGCATTCCATGAGGAATTGTGCCCACTGACGAATCTGTGTTCCATCTAACGAGGAACCAAGCCAATTAAAAATAATGGGGAGCCTGAGCTGCTGCCTGGAACAAAACAATGATAATTATAATTCTAATAAAGACAAAATCCATCCCAGAATTCCCCCTTAGATCAAATCCAAACCTTCCAAGCAGATCCTGCCTCCCTCGTTTTTTGTAGCCCTCTCCCATCCCCACGGAGTCGCTGGGAATGGGGAATGGGAACAGCTGCTCCTGATAAAGTTCCCACCCCATTTCCTCCATGGCAATGAATTCCAGAGGGAAACATCAGCGCTGCCCCCACCATGGATGGGGGTTCCTGGAGCTGCCATGGGATTTCTCCATGGATTTGGTCCACTGAGTCACAGGGAGGCTTTAAACTGGGAGCAGGGATGGATACTGGGAAGGAATTCCAGCTGGGAGGGAGGGCAGGGGCTGGGCTGGAATTCCCAGAGCAGCTGTGGCTGCCCCTGGATCCCTGGCAGTGCCCAGGGCCAGGCTGGACACTGGGGCTGGAGCTCCTGGGACAGTGGGAGGGGTCCCTGCCATGGCAGGGGTGGAATGGGATGGGATGGGATTTAAGTTCCCTTCTAAACCAAAGAATTCCAAGATTCTGTGATTCCTTGAATTTTTGGGGAAGCCTCCTGACAGTGGTAGGGGACACCCCCCTCCTCTCACAGCCTGGGGATCTCTCCAGGTCTAATCCAAACTCACCTGGCAGGAGGAGCTGCTGGGTGATCCTTGCATCCCACCCTCTTGATGTCTCGGGGTTCTGAAGGTTGAAATGACCCCAAGATCAGAGAAAGTCTTTGCTTCCCAGCCCTGCAGCCAAAGGAGTCAGGAATGCTTCGGATCGCGCTCTCAAGGTTGTTTATTTCCCTTACATATAACATTCTTTCTCTGACCTGCTGAGATCTGGCTAGCAGGCCGGCCATGGCATTCTGTGTGTCCCCTAGGGCGGTGTTTACATTTTATACTCAAAACTACGTGTGCCATGTTTGCCATAACGTGCCAATGTCTGTCATTTGTGTCGGACAGTGTGTCTCGCCTTCAACCAGCAGAAGTGTCACCATCACAGCAAGACATGGAGGACAAGATGAAGGAGAAGGTCAGGGCACACCAAAATCCCTCCACCTTGTACCCCCTTGTCGCTGTTGAGGCAGGACGGGAATGAGAAGACTCTGACTCAGAAGGTTGTGAGAGTAAAACTCTGGTTTATTCAAATACCCCACTCTTTTATACAGAGCTCCGTGAGGACCAACTCCATTGGACCTGAAGTGAAAACAACCCACAGCACTGGTGCAGAGTGCTTGACGCACAGTGATAGAACTTAGCTATAAACAATGTGAACAACAAGAGAGATAAAGAATTATTTACATTCTCTCCAGCTCTTTCCCAGACTTCTGCCTGGCTAGAAACCCTCTGTTTCTGTCTTTGACTGAATCTGAGACCCACACCCCCTCAACCCCATTATAAAAATCCCAAAATTGTACTTTCCACCCTGTGTTAATCCAGCTATCACACCACTCAAACCCTTCTGGCTTGTAATTCCTCATACAAAGTTGGCAGATTTTTCCATGGGCTATAATTGAAGCCACAGCTGGTTTTTACTTCATGCCAGGGTCTCTGAGCCCCCTGCCAGGGTCCCGAGACAGCCAGGGCAGCCAGAGGGATGTGCTGGACACTGACACCACCCCAAAAATCCTCAGCATTCCCTTTAAACAACACCCCTGGAGAAGTTTGGAAATGCTTGAGACACCTGTCGGACCCTCTGGATCCAGGTGGATCCCATCCCCTCCCAGAACTTTTAAACAGGGCAGGAGCTCATTTTGGGAATGTCGGGTGAGGTCTCCGTGCAGAAATGTCCCCTCCAGGTGCCCATCCCAGCATTAGACAATCCCCGGGATGTTCCTCACACAGGGCAGGAGGGATTTTTGCCAGGAATGTTGCAGCTTTGCAGCTCAAGGTCGACAAATCGGGGATTTGATCTCTTT